GCAGTTGCCCCGGTCGTTCTAAGTTTGCTTCAGTTGTTTCCAAACACGTGCAAACACTTGCTATTATAGATGTGCCAGACACAATAGGCGCCAAGAGGATAGCAGAGGATAATAGGTGGTGGGTGGAGGCTAGGGGAGGGAGGGAGGGAGACCCCACTGGTGCCCCCCGGTGGTCCTCCCCCCAAATACCCGACTGTGGGGCAGGCTAGGTAGGGAAGAATAGATTGAATATGGGAAGCTGGACCCGGTTTCCAGCACATTGGCGTCACTGCATTGATGTGTTGTTTTGCAAAGATGTACTTAAGGGACGCTGGACCCGGTTTCCAGCAGGTGCTGCTTCCCACCAATAGATGAAGCGGCCCGCTCGGCAAAGCCTCAATCCCCGTGGTTCTCCTACCACCACCAGGATAGAGGTCTTGCACAAGGGCCTTATTTCAAAAAAAAAAAAAAAAAAAAAGACAGGGAGAAGGGCCGTGGTGTGGGCCCTTTGGAGAAAACACGGTACAGTGGCAGAAAGTTAAAAATCAACTTGACTTGTTTCAATCACCACAGGACATAACACGTGCAATACACCAATTCTCCGGGGACTGGTTGGGCAGTGAGGAGGGGGGCTGGATCGCAGGTGTAAGATGGGACGGAAACCCCACCCAGGCGTGCAACCTGGGGGAGTTCAAGAGAGACTACCGGATCTGCTTTAAGGATTGGACTACTGTCGGCCAGGCTATTCCGTTGTGACCGGCATCAGATTTTCCCGACCCTTTCCCGCCTCACAATCTGGCTATGGTAGACATGCAATGGTATGGAGCGGATTGAATGGGCAACGTGGGTGAGGTATAGAGCAGGCAGGTAGCGGATAGCAGGGACAAGGTCGGGCAGATATAGGGCAGGCTAGGACAGCTGTCAGGGCGGCATGGGTAGTCTGGTGGAGGGGGCAGACCGAAGAGACAGCTCCATTTTGGCCGACAAGACTGCGCAGTCATTCCCCTGGCCCCCCTGTTTAGTATCAGTCCCTAGTATCAGTCCGTAACGGTCTATCTGACGCCCTTTATAAGGGTGAAGAGATACAGAAAGGGATTTGGCACACTTGCATGCTCACACAAGGCCACTTTACTGAGTATTACACAGGATCTGCGCAGTCAATCCCCTGGGTCTCAGGGCAATCAATGCTGGCAGACTCCATAGCCACCATTTTCATAGACTCTGCTCAGTCAATCCCCTGTTGTGCAGGGTAATCAATGCTGGCAGACTTCACACTGTTTTTCACCTTTGTAAGATGTTTTCTTTCAAGGGACGCTGGACCCGTTTTCCAGCAGGTGATGCTCCCCACTAATGGATAGAGCCTCTCCCCAGGTGTTAGTGGTGTCTGCTCTTACCAGCAGCACTAACACTGGTGGGGGAGTGTTAAAAAAAAAAAAAAAGCTGGTGGGGGAGTGGTGCTCTTACCAGCAGCTCTTACCAGGAATCTGGTGTACGCATGGAATAAAGCTGGCCCTAACTGTCACAAGGACCCGGGTACGAAATCAGGCGTTCTGCTGCAACCTCTGTTTGAAAACATTCTCATTCGACAAGAAGATCACAACCCCTTCCCTGCAGGAGAAGCAGGGGAAGGATTACACAAGGGTTGGATCCGCAAGGGTGTCATTCAAGTCAGAGACATATGGGACCTAGGGTATGAGGATTGGGTAGTGAGGTGATTTAATTTAGGACTAAACTCTACAGATGGCGTAGAGTCAAATCCAACTTGGAGAAACTTATTAAACCACCAAATTGAATACTTGGCCCAGCTATCGACCACGGCGCTTCCCCGGTAATGCGCCACGCCTTTGGGGCTTCGGGGTACCGGACCACAATGGCTGGAAGCGCCAGTCAAAAAAAAATTGAAATAATACCCCGGCACTTCGGCAAAAATTGGCGCGCAGGGGCATTCCAGGCTCGGCATAGATAGCTGGGCCAAGTACTGGTGGTTTAAAGCTATCCCGGCACACTGGGTGGGTATACTCAAACGCCCCCTCCTACAGACTTCATACACCTGGATCAGAAAGCAACGAGAAGAAAGAAGTGTATGGCGGTCCATTGGCCCAGATATCCCAACGGGACTCAGAATACAAAAATGGGCCTCTTCGGGAGAGCAGTCTTTGAGATTCGTAGAAGAAAAGAGAATTCACCAGACCAGGTCCTGGTAATTTCGTCAAAACAGACATATTTTGTTTTTTGAACGAAATTGAAAGCTCATAAATTGGCCCGATTTAGGTGGAAATTTCAAGCTCTTGAGGGTCCAACGTCCTCAAAATGCTGGAACCCTTGGATCTATCTGGACTTAGCTGGAGTCAAGGAGGTACGGCATTCTGAAAATGCTGTACCCCCTGGATGTATATGGACTTAGCTTGCATCCAGGCGGTACGACATTTTCAGATGACCTTACCCTCAGGAGCTGAAAATGTCAACCAAAATTGGGCCAATTTTGAGTTTTCAATTTCGTTCAAAAAATAAAAAATGTCCCTTTTTTTGGCGAAATTGCTGTTAGGAATGGAAAGATTTAATAGAAGTTAGGGTCCATTCGCAACTCTTTAAGACAGGGAAAGAGTTGTGCATTTTAGGTAGAGATGCGCACACATATGCCGCAGAACCCTTCACCCAGGGGTGGAGGACAAAAAAGCAAACGCTTACCTTCACCCCCCTGGCAATGTACAAATCCAGCGTGGGAGTCTCAATAGAGAGGGCTCAGACACAGAGAGAACCAGCATCAGTGGCATCTGATTCAGAGAGGTGGCAGACATATAATTCATCACAGTCAACCCAAGAGATGACAGAGGAGAGCAGGGTTCAGATTTGGAAACAACTGAAGATTCAACCAGACCAAAAAGTAGCCACTGCATTCTGTTATGGCTACAGACCCTTTGTGTGATACGGTCGGCAGAATGGCTTGAAGTTCTCTCAAGGAACATGGATGATGTTTCCAGGATTTGCGGCAGGTGTGGTTGGTCGTGGGAGACCACTCAACATGTATGGGTACACTGCCCTTTCTCTCTTAGAATGTGGGCAATGATGGAGAAAATACTGGAAAGAAATGGCAAATGATGCCTTGACTTGGACCGATGAATGGAGAGAAACCGGTTTTAGCCCTGGTACGCAGAATTATAAATCAGGATGGGGCTACATTGGTCAGATATGCAGAGGAATCATAATGCAAGTTATCTGGCAGTCACGCACTGTTTAGAGGTGAGCTGGCATAAAGAGGACAACTACAGGCTCAAGTCAGGAAATAAATGAGATACACAGTACTGGTTGACATTAAACCACCAGTACTTGGCCCAGCTATCGGCCGCAGAAAAACATAGAGTAGAGTAGAAATGTTTCTGGTTGGATGAATTTGGGCGCTCCTGTAGTGGTCCGTACGTTTCCTAAACTCGCGCAGCGTTAATGGGCACGACTTTAGGAAGTACTGGTGGTTTAAGAGAAAACTTCAAGGCCCAGTTTGGTTTTCAAAAACTTGCCAATGCATTGGGCGTTGAATAAACAATTGGCCATTTTATAATCAGACCTGAAGGTCTCACTGGGCCCCTGGCTGAGTAAGAAGATGTAATTTAGTTAACAGGAAATAAAGAGTTTCTCAATAGTTACAATACGAAGACGGGGTACTATTTGGTCTTGTAACTCTTGTTGAGTCCATTTCGTAACTGTCCTAGGTTGCTTAGGTGGCTCTCCTGCTGCACTAGGTGGTCACTCAGCTTAGACAGCCTTTGGCGGAGAGGTGCACGGGTTGAGAGCAGGAATTTTTTAGTTAAGTTATTAATCACAGTATCTAGGGTGCACGGGTTGAGAGCAGGAAGTTTTTAGTTAAGTTATTAATGACAGTATCTAGGGGATGATGGACCGGATTTTCAGCTGGTTACCTGTCTACTCTGGGTAGACTGCGAGGACCCCGGCCTCAAAAAGATTGCAGTAAACCGCGTTCAGCAGCGGCCTGGGCGTTGTAACCCAAGCCCAGGCCCAGCGAGCAGTGCGACCACGCGCTGCTCGGCCTCAGGCCGCTGCGGGTGCTGTGTGACCACGCACAGCAAGAAATTTAAAGGTCAAAGTGAACTGTAGGTCCAGGTACCTCGCCCAGGCCCTTGGTCGTGTGCATTGACTTGTATGTGTGCAGATACCCAGTCAGAACGGTGGACCAAGGAGGATACAGTTTCAACTCAATCCAGGCCGTCGACGACAATCGATCTCGGCCGTGTCTGACTTGAGGACT